CCTAAGAGCGATGGCCTCCAACCTAAGAGCGATGGCCTCCAACCTAGGAGCGGTGGCCTCCAACCTAAGGAAGATGTGCCGACATTTGCGCAGGACGAACGAAATGGATACTGATTGACTACATGACTGAAGAACTCACTTGAGCCGCTCACTTGGGACTATGGTCGGGGGTGAAAGATGGCAAAAGTTTGGGTGCATCTTGATTCGTCAATCAAGTAACAATTGAGGGAGAGGAAGTAGTCTCAAGCCCTCAGCAACCATCTGTGCCAAATCATGGAGTTGAGGACTAGGAAATGACAACACGTACCATGTCATTTAGAAGTTGGTTCACCGTCCAATACCACTGCATTCACAGAAAAACAAGACCATCGTCGAAACTAGGACAAATGTGAAGACTCAGTTGAAACTTATGAGTTTCGACAAAGAAGTCGTGCTAAGTGCAAACATCTTCGGTACCTGTAAAGGCCCCTCGCAACCGAGCTTCCGAAGCTGATGGGTCTAGACAGCCCCTTTGAGACACAACCAGCTGAGTTGAACACCGATCTCACCGCTTTCTCAAGTCTCCCAGTCATCCCAACTGAGGCCACCGCTAACTTCGAATGGATCATGGATCTCGCTTGCTGAATGGCCTTCGCTTTCCGGTTCGTGAGAAAGAATCTCAGCGTTTTCTGTGTCCCGTATCCAATGTGAGGTTTTGGCACAAATTGTTATGAGAAGGTCACTGGTCTTGGAAAGGGTGAAGCTGACCTAGGAAAAGGAATCTTGTAATGTAAGTTAAGTTTCCCAAAAAATCTAGAAACAAACTCCTAAGTGCGAGCGCTTCTTCAAGGAAACTTCCCCCGCCGCCCTAAAGCTTCCTTGAAGAAGCGTGAGCTATCCTGTGTCCAGTGTTAGTAGTTTTCTTGTTAGCTACTACTAGGTACCTCTCCCTACTAGCTATACCAACTCCCTCTAGCTACTACCTACGCCTAACCTACCTCACCTCTACTTACGGCCTACCCCCGCTCGCTCTCTCTCTCTCTCTCTCCAGCCTCTTTGAGCTCTTGGTTTTGTGTCTTCAACACTTGGCTCTCCTCTGTGGCCTTCGTCAACTCTTCCACCTTTTCGAAGCGGCGAGCGCGACGTTGTTTTCCTTGCTCCGAGA